TTGGCATGGATCATCACGAAAGCTCCCAGAGCCTCAAATGATCAGTGTATACTCAACCTTCACTCTCTACAATTTCTCCTACAAATGTGGACATTGATGTTAAAAGGATTTAAATCTATAACCAAAAAAAAAGCCTGTAATTGAATAAATGTACCTCACTGCCCATTGACAGTGCATTGAAGTGAAAATAGATTTCTCCACTCCCAGAGACCTGTTGGAAGACGGATAGGAAAAGAGTTGACACAGCTGCTTGCTTTTTTACAGCTTAGTATGATTTTCTTCATTGCTCCATGAGAACCAAGTAAGCTTTAAATACTCAATATTTCCTAGAGTCCACTGCTTTGTTAGTGAACAATGAAGCTAAAGGATGTAATCTTTGTAAAGAAAGCCAAGTTTACTAGGACATGAGAGCTGCAGCCTCGAAACTATTCTCCTCTCCCTTTTCCTATTAATCTCATAAGAACTGTATTTCGATTCCTTAGGCACTGCTCATTAAGAGGGAAAAGCTGTCTTACAAGAGTCACTCTGTGCACTGATCACACGTCCCAGATGATTTTATAGTATACTAGGCTAAGAATTATTGAATACTTATTGCATGTTGCTGCATAGACAATTCATGAGTAGTGTGGAGTCATGACAAAAACTTTCCAAGTCTTTTGTGACTACTCATTCACAGTAGATCATCAAAACAGGCATTGGCCAACAATCTCTAAGGAGCTGTGACTATTTGAAGTTGTATATGCATCACTATCTGGGATTTTAATGCTTACTGGTAGCATGTTTATATGCAAAGACTCTTTTCGGGTATGCATTTAATTGCTAAGCACTATTGAAAGTACATGGCAGGTGCTATCTTTCTATGAGTCTCTCCCTTTTTGATTCTTTCCTTAATTATCTATTTCTGGTCAACTTTTTCTAGTAAAAATGGTTGTTAAAATAGTTAAGCTTTTTAGAGCTGATTATGCATAAGGCAGATAAACAGTGATTTGCTAAAACCCTAATTTATCAAGACTCAGGGCAGCATGACCCCATAGGACAAGCCACTTGTTCAGACTGTGTAGGTTCTTCAATATAACTATAGCCTAGAGATAAAATGTTGTCTCTGGCTTGTGGAGTCAGACCATGCAAATTTACTCATGGTTAAGATCCCTTAAGGGCCATGCAACACTTAGGGCATGCAATCAGAACATAGTATAAGGAAAAGTAGAAACTGATTTTCTGGCACTGCGACTCTTCATGATGACTCTTAGCTCACTCTGTAGTATGATGGAAAGATGTGTCAGTGTTCACGGCAGCCTCCTTGTGGTTACCTCTCTTACTCATCATAGCACCGTGAGCAGGATGTGCTTTTCCTCATGTCGGCAAGGATGAACATGAGCTTGTTTTCACAAGTCCAGAAGGTTCTCCAGGGCAAAGCATGATTCCTGACACAACATAGGTTTAAAAGAAATCTGTTGAATTCAACTTTCTGTATGTTGAAGCAGCAATAACCATCTTTGTATTCCAAAAGAATCAACATGTGTTATCCCTTCGAGACTGTGATTGTGAGCCTTGGGCTTGCTTTCTACTCCCATTTACCGTTACCTCAAGAGGAATTAGTCATGCGTGGTCACTAAGTACATTTGTCACATTGATCTACATAGAAAAGAAGTGTTTTTTTTTTTTTTTAGGCTTTGTTTTGGGGGTAGGGATATTGAAATCAGAAATTCTGTCCTTTATTCTTCTGTTCAGAACTACACTAAGTAATTCTTTTATAATATTGTTTAATATGCAAATTGTAAATATGTACATTGTGTATACATAAGTAAAGTAAGTTTAAAAAAATAAGCATAAAAATGAGGAAATTTGTTGAATGATTGAACTGGCAAATACCTGTCTCCACCATCTCCTGATGTGCTGCTGTCTGGACCTCCTTTTGCTCTGTGTGACTTACAAAGTGAACACATGCTGGGCAGCAGTGCACACGCCTTTAATCCCAGCATTCCAGAGGCAGAGCCAGGTGGATCTCTGTAAGTTCGAGGTCAGCCTGGTCTACAGAGCGGGATCCAGGACAGAGTCAAAATAGCACCAAAACTACACAAAAGAGAAACCCTGTCTTGAACCCCTCCCCCCAAAAAAAATCAATCAATCAATCAATTAATCAATCAATCAATAAAGTGAACACACTATTATCCTGCAGGTCTCATTATCCCTTTTTATAATGAGCTGTAAATCTCAGCTATCCTCTATGTTATATCACTTACCCCTTTGATGCCCAAACGCATCTGGCAATGATGCCGGGTGCAGTGTCGCTTTCCTGTCATGGAGAACTCTCACAGATTCCTCTCTTCCCTATTCTGAGGGTCATTGCTATAGTTCAAATCCATGCTTTTGTTTTGGGGAACTACATTATTAACTTCTTATAATGCCCATGGTTCTGGTTTTGAAATCCCCACACACACTCCATCGTCTACATTATATTGCTTTGTTCTGAAACAAAATTTTAACTTTTTTTTATTTATGAATTTAAAACCATTCAGCAATTTTTCTCTAACTTAAGCCATTTACACTCATACCTTGGATAGGGCAAACAACAGCAAAATACTCCACAATGAAGGCCCTGGTTATAAACACTCAGTGTTCATTCCACCCTCTAGCATTTCCTAGAAGCTTTCATTACCAGCCCTCCTTGCCTTGGCTGTGCTACGTAACCCCTTTGACTTGACTACAACTGTGACTACTTGAACATAAAAGCAATTCAAGTGCTAAAACATGGTGTAGATACTTCTCATCCCATCAGGAAAATAACTTCACTTCTTTTACTAGTGATTGTCTCTCTAAACATTTTGTTGTGTGTATTTATTTGTTTGGTGTGTATGTACACACATGTGAGGAGGGGGCATGTGCATGCCTTGTTGCACGTGTGGACATCTGAGGACAACTTAAAAGAGCCAGGTCTGTCTTTCTACTCTGTGGGTCTCATGGACTGAATGCTGGTCCTGAGTGAGGCCTGGTGCAAGCACCGTTACCTGCCGAGCCACCTCTCAGCGACCGTCTCACCTTCTCTCGCTCCTCTGTCCCGCCGGCCTGACTTTCATCACTTTATCCCACCAGCGCTCTTCTTTTGACCTCCCTGTTGCTCTCACCAGGGTTGAGGATCCATCTTCCCTGCATCCTCGTCAGAGCTGACAGCTGCTCGCATCCATTTCCTCCTTGACACATTCCCTTCTTTCAGCTTAGAGACGTCATCCCTTGTTTTCTTTCTACTTGTCTAGTGTTTTTCTTTTTCTTTTTTTCTTTTTTTTTTAGATTTCATCACAATCTCGTCATCTTCTACCTGAGGACTAAATGATAGAAGTTCTCAGAACAGTCATAAACTCTGCTCTCACGTGACATGTGTATTAGAAAAAAAAGAAGAGAACTTTGTATATTTTTTGCATGCTTGCTATTCATCAGGCATAGTAAGAGAAATAAAATACAAGTTTGAAAAGTAGATCTTGAGAAAAACAATGCCATCATGAAGTCTGCAGGCAAATGGATGGAACTAGAAAATACCATCCTGTAACCCAGACTCAGAAGGACAAACATGGTAGGTACTCACTCATAAGTGGATACTAGATAAAAAAGCAAAGGATAACCAGACTGCAACCCACAGCTCCAGGGAGGCTAGTTAGTAAGGAGGACCCTTGGAAGGACACATGGATCACCCAATGATGAAGAAATGGATGAGATCTACATGAGCGAGCCGGGGGTGGGGGTGGGGGTAATGGAGGGCATGGGGCAGGGGATGAGAGCTTAGAGGAGTGGGAAGTTCGAGCTGAAATGGAAACAGAGTGGGAGAGCAAGGAAAGAGATAACATGATAAATGAAAACACCATGGGAATAGGGAGAAGCAGAGTGCTAGGGAGGTTCCCTGGAATCCACAAGGATGACTCCACTTTAGACTACTAGCAATAGTTGAGAGGGTGCATGAGCTGGCCTACTCTGGTGATTAGATGGCTGAATATCCTACCTGTAATCATAGAACCCTCATCCAGTGACTGAAGAAAGCAGATGCAGAAATCCACAGCTGGGTCCCAGGCAGAGCTACAGGAGTCCAATCGATGAGAGAGAGGAGGGATTCTACCAGCAAGAGATATAGAAACCATAATTGGAAAAAGTATAGAGACAACTAGCCAAACTAGTGGAAACATGAACTGTTAACCAATAGCTGAAGATCCCCCATGGTACTGGACTAGACCCTCTGGATAAGTGAGATAGTTGTTTAGCTTGAATTGTTTAGGGACTCCCAGGCATTGGGATCGGGACCTGTTCCTAGTACATGAGCCAGCTCTGGAACCTAGGGCCTGTGCTGAGACACTTTGTGTAGCCTTGGTGCATGGAGGAGGGGCTTGGACCTGCCTCAACTGAATGTAACAGGCTCTGCTGACTCCCCATGGGAGACCTTGCCTTGGAGGAGGTGGGAAAGGGGATGGGTTGGGGAGGGAATGCTGGGGTTGGGAGGAGGGAGGACAGGGGAATCTGTGGTTGGTATATAAAATGAAAAGAAAATCTCTTAATAAAAAAAAGAAAGAAAAAGAAAAGTAGATCTTGATGTCTAGCAGGTGAGCTGACAAACTTTTTGAGGCCATGTTCACCCCTTCCGGACATACATTATCTTCCTATCATTGCACAAGGTTGTCTGAGTCCAGGGAGCAAGACAAGGCCTCTTTGTAACTTTTTCTAAGCATGGTCAAAAATAAGATTGCTGGCTAGAATAGCAAACATTCCCACGTCCTAGACCTTACAGAAGATTAAGACCCGCTGGGGTTCCCCATCACAGGGCTGTCTGTCCCTCGTTTGTGATGTCACCCCTTCTTGTCTGAATCTCTTAAGTCTTTGAATCAAAGCTGGCCCTGTAGTAGATCATTCATCCTCCTTACTGGGGAGTCCACCAGTGCCTGTGCTGCATGGTCTGTCCCACTGTACTGGCCCTGTAGTAGATCATTCATCCTCCTTACTGGGGAGTCCACAGGCACCCATGCTGCATGTTCTGTTCCACTGTAATGAGTAATAAACCAAATTTACTCAGCTACAAGTGTTACGATAGTCATTGGATAGAAAACATGGTCATGATAAGCACTTTCAACGTATTACTTTATCTCTTGTAACAATCCCTATACATGGAATCATTATCTTTTATAGTGTATATGAAAACACACTGAGATGTTAAAGTATTTTAAGCAAGATTATTCATTTGGTAAAGAATTTTGATGTAAGCACTTGACATTAGAATGAATGAGAGTTTCTAAGACATACAGTCAACGTTTATTATTTGAATAGATTTAATGAAGGCAGTCCTGCTCTAACAGATTACCCCTAACTTCAGATATAGGTGATTCCTTGGTCTTTCATGCTTTGATGTAGTTTATTTAAGCCAATGTACCTAGAATATTGTACTTTTAATATGTAATCACTATGAAACTTATAATACAACAATTTTTACTTCAAACAAGTATTGAGACCTGTTGTGTATCTTACACTATCTCTCAGTTTAGACTAACCACATTTCAAGACTTTAAATGATACATACTGTTAAACAGCATAACTTGGAACATGAAAATATTTTTGGCTCTAAGGAATATTTAGTTGTTCCTTTTTAATCCTAGCAAAAAATTTCACCCATCTAAGATAAACTAGTCCTATAATAACAACAAATAGTCTCTGACTTTCCAATATACCAGATGGCAGGACTAAACCTTCTTTCTACATTTAAAATATTAGCCTTCTTAATAGCAGCTTATCTGGACTGTGACAGATTCAGTTATCACAATATAATCCACATATATTCACAATATATTGACTTGGCTTACAGGACTATATCTGCTGTCAAGTTTCAGTATCATTGTCTGACTGTAACTACAATTTCATGAGGGAAAGTTTTAGCTTATCAGAACCTTCATATTTTCCATGAGTAGGATAATGTAATTGCAGAATGCATAGAATGCAACTGAAATGTTCATTATTTTCTTCAGGGAGCATTCACTCAGCATCATCTTATCCTAAAAACAGGAAAAGACAAATTACATTCTGGACTCCCAGGTGAACTTATTGTTCATGGAAAAACATGAGTGTGCTGAGCTCACAAAAATTAAAAGACTATTGATATCTGTTGCTTCCAATTAGAAAGTTTAGTAAGACCAATAAAGTCATCTTTAACGAAAACCATAATGAGAGGGCTATAAAATCAAAATGTAACTCTATTACTCCAATGAACGTACATTTTGTTGGAGATGATGAGTCTATCTCAGATGAATTTGAGTAGAGTATGGGATAATTTGGCTTATAGAACACACAATATCTTCTTAGTGGACAGAAGCCATCACGTCTCAGGCAGACCTTGTCACCTATCACTATCTTCTGAAGATGTTACAGTCTTTAATCTATAAACTGGTAGTCTCAGAAATAAATCAGAGAACTGTGGGCCTATTTGTGCATGCTAGTATCACTAACATGTTTTTGTTTTTGAGATAAGAGTCCTGTGTACCCAGGGGTAGCTTTGAACTCAGGATAGCCCAAGATGGTCTTGACAAAAGCAAGACAGGAGATGAAAATCTAAAACAATGACTGATTTAAAAGGTGGAGAAAGGGAAACTTTCATACATGATTATGGCAAATCAATATATTCAAATTTCATCTATCATGAAAAACAGCATAAAGATTCTTTATAAAATACAACCATCATATTTATTCACCAGTCCCAAAACAGGTGCATAGGCAAGGAAAATTAAATCATTATGTCAAAGCAATACCTGCACTTTCAAGTTTTCTACAACACTCTACACAATAGCCAGTTATGTAACCAGACAGAGTGGTCTCATCCATTGATGAGATATATGATGATGAACTAAAGAAAATGAATTTACGTATCCATGGAATATCACTCAGGCACAAGAGAATAAAAATCTCTTATTTGCCCTTGCATCTTCTCCACACCCTCTTGTCAATACCAGTTACACTTGGATTTGACTGGATAATGTGGTGGTTTGGATGTAATTGGCCCCATAAGCTCAGAGAGTGACACTATTAGGAGGTGTGAGTTTGATTGGGTAGGTGAGGACTTGTTGGGGGAAGTGTGCCACTGTGGGGGTGGGATTTGGGGGTCTCAAATACACCCAGGCCATGCTCAGTGTTTCAGACCACTTCCTGTTGCCTGTAGGTCAAAATGTAGGAACTCCCAGCTCCTTCTCTAGCACCATGTCTGCCTGCATGCTGCTTTGCTTCCTGCCATATCGATAGCAGACTAAACCTTTGAACTGTAAGCAAGCCACCCCAACTAAATATTTTCCTTTATAAGAGTTCCAGCAGTCATGGTGTCTCTTCACAGCAATAGAAACCTTAGCTAAGACAGTCTCATTGGTGAAGTAATGAATAGATGTCCTGATCCTCTGTTTGATGATACTAAGTTTCAGGAGAGGTCATTATGCAGTGAAAGAAACCAGACTCATGTTCTCATCATGTTGTGGACATGAAAATATCTATTTCATAAAAAATGAATAGAACAATAGTGACTATAGATGAAGAATGGACTGAGAAGTAGCTAACAGAAACCACCAAACACAACCAGAGATGGAGTTCATTTTGGTTTTTCACAGAACAGCAAGGTAACTACTGTGAATACAGTCTACAGTGTATAACATAACCAGGAAAAAAGTGTGAAAGTTCGCAGCACAAAGACATGATTAACACTTCAAGAGATGTGTACGCTTATTATCCTGACCTGATCAAAGCATTGCACCACAATTCATAGACATGAGCACAAGTCTCAGTTAAAAATGAAGATGACAGTTGTAAAGCCTATGACAAGTTATGGCTCATGAGGCAGGAAAACATTGCACCACAGGAAAGTGACACATGATATAATTTTGGTGAATTAATAAAAATCACACTTGTAAACAAAAAGAAAGGGAGGCATTTTAGGTTATCTCTACTCTATAAATAGCCACTTTTTGAGTGCCCCTGAATCCACTTAACTAAAACAAAAGAAAACAGAAAAACAACCCAGATTCATACACACAGAACATAAGTGTTTGAGCAACACACCTGTACATCTGTGTGAGTGCTCATGTGTGCATGTGTACACACACACACACACACACACACACACACACACACACCATCCCATCCTAGCCTCTTATTTTATCGTTGTCTTAGTTTCCTTGAAGATGTATTTACATTTATTTAGCAATCCTTTCCTTTGGGAGAAAAACATCAGGTGATAGTTTGGTGGCTTAATATAAGCACTGATTTTTTTTTTAAAATGCATATATACCATCTATTCCCTCTTCACTGTGGGACCTGGCACTGGGACAGGTGACTGAGAGTCACATGGCCACTATTTTCAGAAGATGGTTTTGTGATTCTTGAGAAAACATTAAGAGCCATGTTTTCATATCAGCACCTCTACCAACTCCCCGACTTTGTGAATCAGTAGCTCCAGAAGCCATGGGGCATGTGTGTTTTCCTCTGGGTTTTCAGTGGATGGTCAGATATAGAAGAATGAAAATATATCCATCCAATACCTGAATCTAAAACCTGAAACTCTGAAACTGCTAGAACAAAACACAGACAGTACCCTACTGGATATAACTGTGGGAAAGAATTTTCTGAATAGGACTCCATTCATTTCAGATTTAAGGATAACAATTGACACATGGGACCTCACAAAACCAAAAAGCTTCTGTCCATCAAAGGAAACAATCAGCAGAAGGAAAAGGAAGTTCACAGTGTAAGGGAAAAATTTCTGTTAAGCTATATTTCTGATAGAGGATTAATATGCAGAATATACAAAGAACTCAAAAAGAAAATTAAGAAAATGAAGCATCAATCAAAAGAGAACAATAAAAAAGTGGGTGTGCATTTGAACAGAGCCTTTGTTTTGTCTTTTTGATACTAATTAATTTAAATGGTAACAGTGACATTTCGTAGTTTTGTTTGTATTTTCCTGATAATTACTAACAGTGATTTTCTTCCTATACTTGTTGTTGATTTGTGTTTCTTTTTTTAAAGGACTATTTACTTAAATCTTCAATCTTTTTTTTATTGGTTTATTTGTTTTTGAGCATTTGAATTCCTTATATATTCTGATATTAATCCCTTGTTGGATGAACAGTTAACAAATATTTTCTCCATTCTTTAAAAAAGGTGTATTTTATGTAGGTCTTCGAGAATTTCATACATTGTGTTTGATCACATTCACCTTTTGTCCCCAATTCCTTTAGATTCATAGCCCAATCCATACTCAGCCAACTTTGTGTTCTTATTTTTTTTTTAAAATCAAGTCCAATTTGTACTGCCTATATGCTCTCGGGTGTGGGAGTATCCACTAGAAAATAGTTGGCTAGCAGGGGCTACACATAAAAACTGACTCCTCTCCCTCTCCCTGCAGATATCAGTGACCAAAAAGCTCCTTAGATGCATGGACCATTATGCCAACCTTCCTGTTTTATTCTGGGATTCTTTGTTCTTTGGATTGTCTCTCAACTCTTGTTATTTTCATGGTGTACAGAGAATTATTGGTTTAATAGAGCTGCATTTGTTTTTAACTGTCTTCATTTTTTAAAAAATCAGTAAGATAAAATGCGATGTAAATTCTTTATTAGAAGTTTCTGGTCAATTGTCTTTTTTATTTTATTTTATTTTGTTTTTAAATTTTTTTTAATTTTATTTTACAATACTATTCAGTTCTACATAACAGCCACAGATTCCCTTGTTCTCTCCCTTCCTGCCCCCCACCCCTTAACCCCAGCCCACTCCCCATTCCCACCTCCTCCAAATCAAGGTCTCCCCCGAGGACTGGGATCGACCTGATAGACTCAGTCCAGGCAGGTCCATTCCCCTCCTCCCAGATTGAGGCAAGTGTCCCTGCATAACTCCCAGGTTTCAAACACCTAACTCATGCAATGAGCCCAGGACCTGGCACCACTGCCTAGATGCCTCCCAAACAGATCAAACCAATCGACTGTCTCACCAATTCAGAGGGCCTGATCCAGTTGGGGGCCCCTCAGTCTTTGGTTCATAGTTCATGTGTTTCCATTTGTTTGGCTATTTGTCCCTGTGCTTTATCCAACCTTGGTTTCAACAATTCTCGCTCATATAAGCCCTCCTCTTTCTCACTAATTAGACTCCCAG